ACACACACACACATACACACACACACACACACACACACGCACACACATCAGACATTACAGACGCGCACACACACACACACACACACACACACACACACACACACACACACACACACACACACACACACACACATCAGACATTACAGATGCACACACACACACTATCAGGACTAACGCTGAGAGACGAAGGCAGGACTCTGGACATGGGCAGAGCTGCAAATGTTTGAAAACTCTGTATTTACAATATCAATCTGGTGACACACACACACTTCAGCTGAAACACACACACACACAACTCGACACACAGAAGCAAACAGTGTGCACTTCCTTCAATTCATAGTGAACAGGAAGGAAAAGAACCAGGATCAACCGGGAATAGAGGTAATCTCTCTCTCACACACACACACACACACACACACAATCTCTCTCTCTCACAAATACACACACACACACACTCTCTCACACACACACACACACACACACACACAATCTCTCTCACAAATACACACACACTCACTCACTCGCTCACTCGCACACTCACACACTCACACACACTCACACACACACACACACACACACACACAATCTCTCTCTCTCACAAATACACACACACTCACACACACACACACACACACACACACACACACACAATCTCTCTCTCACAAATACACACACACTTACTCACTCACTCACTCACACACACACTCACACACACAATCTCTCTCTCACAAATACACACACACTCACTCACACACTATCTCTCTCTCTCTCTCCCTCTCTCTCACACAAATACATACACACTTTCTCTTTCTCAAATAGACACACACATACACACTCTCTCTCTCTCTCTCAAATACACACACACATACACAATCACTTTTAACACACACACACACTCACTCTCTCAAATACATACACAAACACACTGTCTCCAATACACACACTCAAATACTTACACAGGCTCTCTCACTCACTCACTCACACACACACACACACACACACACACACACACACACACAAACACATACACTCTCCCTCAAACATACACAAACTCGCTCGCTCAAATACATACACACATGAAAACTGTGTCCGTTTACACGTCAGAGAGAGAGAGTGTGTGTGTTTGTGTGTGTGTGTGTGTGTGTCCACGTGCATGTCAGGGAGAGTGCCCTTGTTTATGTGAGAGAGTGTGTGTGTTTAGGCATGTCAGAGTGTATGTGTGTACCTGCTGCTCTGATTCTCCTGCACAAACGGGTAGCAGGTGATCAGGTATGAGGGGATTTGCGTGGGCTCAGCTCCGCCCTCACCGCACAGACTCATGGGTAATAATGAAGAATCCACGCCTTTCTTCTGAGGAATAAACGGTTCCACTTCAGCAGAGAGCTTTACATCCTGAAACACACACACACACACGTCAAACAACTGGCTTTAATATCTGCTCAATATTATTATTGCTTTCATTCATTCATTCATTCATTCATTTTCTTTTCGGCTTTTGCCACAGCAGAATGAACCGCCAACTATTCCAGAATATGTTTTACACAGTGGGAGCCCTTCCAGCTGCAACTCATCTCTGAGAAACACTCATACACTACGGCCAGTGTAGTTGATCAGTTCCCCTATAGCGCATGTGTTTGGACTGTGGGGGAAACCGGAGCACCCGGAGGAAACCCACACCAACACGGGGAGAACATGCAAACTCCACACAGAAACACCAACGGACCCAGCCGAGACTCAAACCAGCGACCTTCCTTCTGTGAGGCGACAGCTAATAATAGTAATAATAATAATAGTTATTATTGTTAAATGAATAGCTGTTCTACTTTGTCAGTAAAAGCTGAAATCCTGTGGTGTTTTCTCTGGTGTCCACTAGAGGGCTCTTTAAGCTAATACTAAACCCCATCTAGCAGTTTTAAATGAATGTTCAAACACTACATATAATACATCTTCATTTATCGCCCAGAACGACTCTAAATAAAACAAATCATCATGCTCTGATAAAACAGACAGATTCAGCAAGATAGAAAAGATTCAGGATGTCCAGTAAACTGCTCTGTAAATAAGCACCATGAGTCTACAGTGAAGTATATTAGGATCAGAGGTAATGAGGACCAGCAATTGTGCTGTTACAGAAGAATAAGCTGCAATAAAACAGAAATAAAGTCCATTTGCAATAATAAAGCTGCAAATAATAGCTCATCCTCCAATTACTGCTGAAGATCAAGTGTTGTGTGGAGGAGATGAAGATGATTGCAGCTCTTCTGCTGTTGTGACTGCAGCCGCTGGCTCTGTACAGCACATGCTGTCTACTCTACATACACTGGACATGACAGGCCTTTATTTTGACAGCCACAAAGCATTGTGGGTAATTACTCAGACACCGACGTCTGTCAGAAAACACACATTTCCTGTGACAACACTCATACCACACACACACACACACACAAAATCTCTCTTAGACTCGCACTTACATAGAATATCTCAAACACATTCTCGCTGT